GAAGACGTTTTCAAGCTGCTGGACCGGAAAGAATACGGTATTAACATCAATGGCGAGTGCATCACTTACCTTCGACTTGCCGACGATATAGTCCTTATGGCAGAATCACTGGAGGACCTTAGCACTATGCTCAGTGACCTCAATGGTGTCTCCCAACGGATAGGTCTTAAGATGAACATGGACAAAACAAAGATCATGTTTAATGTCCATGTCACACCTATGCCGGTAGTTGTTGGGAGCACTATGCTCGAAGTTGTTGACGAGTACGTTTACTTGGGACAAATAGTCCGACTAGGTAAGTCCAACTTCGGCCGAGAGGTCAATCGACGGATTCAACTCGGCTGGGCAGCGTTCGGGAAATTACAACTCATCTTCTAGTCAGGTATACCTCAATCTCTGAAAACTAAAGTAAAGTTTTTTGTGTTTTGCCAGTGATGACTTACGGATCTGAGACGTGGTCCTTCACTGCTGGCCGTATGAGGACGCTCAAGGTCGCTCAGTGAGCTATGGAGAGGGCTATGCTCGGAGTTTCTCTGTGTGACTCAGAAATGAGGATATCCGCAGTAAAACCAGAGTGACCGACATAGCCCAACGGATTAGTAAACTGAAGTGGCAATGGGCCGGCCATATAGCTCGAAGAACCGATAACCGATGGGGAAGAAAGGTTCTCGAGTGGCAGCCTCGTATCGGTAGGCGTAGTGTAGGGCTACCCCCCACTAGATGGGGTGACGACCTGGTAAGACATGCAGGAAGTCGATGGATGCAGGTGGCTCAGGACCGTGCTTTGTGGCGTTACTTGGGGGAGGCCTATGTTCAGCAGTGGACTTGTAAAGGGCTGTAATGATGATGATGATGATTAAACCAGGTTACAAATTAGCTGACACATCACAACCTAGAGATTAATTTTAATAAAACCGAGTACTACATTATTTTGACCCAAATTAAAGTTATATTTAATCGAAAAATGTTTCCATAATTTAAATGAATATCGGTACAAATATTATTTAATTTGTGTGGACAACTTCGGCCTGTGCCTATATAATTTGATTTAATTTTTTTTGTTCCATTATTATTTTTTACTTAATTTTATTTTTATTTATAATAATTATTATTATTTTTTCTTGACATTGTGATTATTCATTTAATTTAATTTATAGAATTTTAAAATAATATAATCTAATAATGTAATTTATTAATTAAATCTAATATTGTAGTTTAAAAATAATATTTTTATTTTATTTTGCTACGCCCAAACTGGATTCAAATGAGGACATTTTTTTTTAAAACATCACATCTATTGTTACCATTTGATTGCAATAAAGATTATGATTATGATTATCTCAAAATCATCTGGTAGCATCAACATCATATCAAACCCCCATTGTCATAAGAACGTAAGACTTTTCTTCTGTGCTTTACTGGGCCTACGCCGCGACACAAAATATTTTGAGTCGATCTCTGTATATTTTGGTTAGATCGATTTCGAAATCGATACACAACGTGCGACACGGCTACATCTCTAAGAAAGTTTCGAAAAGCAAGGTCAGCTACGCCGTTGTACAGTCGTGACGTCATCAAGATGAAGAGAAGAAGATTATTGTTTGTTTTTATTTAGTAAGTTTTTTGTACAAAGTACATATATAATAAGAGTGGAAGACAGCACAGGATTAAATAAAACATACCAGATTATAAAGTCATTTATTGCGTAAAAAAAAACCAGCAAAATCAAGTTATTTTGTGTTATCGATATATCAACTCTTGGCAACACTAGTTTTTTGGTAGGTATTTTTGTTTAATTTTCGCTTTGGCACGGTAATAATATCTATACAGTATTGTAACTCGGCCGTATCTTTGAAATAAATGCCTACAGCCGCGCTGTACGCAAACATGCGATAGGGCTGCCTGCCTCCAGCATTACATTTGCCTACTTTGTGTTTCCATTTATTTTTGTGATTGTAAATATACTTTTTATATAAACAAATATAATAGGTATTTTGTGAATTGAATAGGAAGTGTTCAATAAAAATGCGTGTCATTTTTTGATTGGTAGATTTATTTGAAAAACCATGTTTATGTTTGAGTAACAAATCGGTCTTATAAATTTGCGACCGAAAAATATTTGCGCCTCGGCTGAGACGTACGAAATGCTTTATTATTAAAATTTTAAGTATAAAAATCCGCATTCTAATAATATAAAGCATATCTATATAATATAAAGCTTAATTAAAAATTGTTTTGGGAAACATGGACAAGATGGAGAAAAGGAATATCTTTTACTTGGTTACAGAAACCTTCAGTTACTTTACAATTTATATGTTTGGTTTTAAAATGAAGTTCGGATTTATTATTTATTTATTTCTATTCTATTATTTATTTCCTCCATTGTATATATATTCCACAAAATCATCACTGCGGTACAGTCACGACTGTCTGCATGCCGAGATCGAGGCGCGTAGGCATAGCTCTCGCTTCGTCCGTTTGTATGGAGTTGGAATACTGTATAGATACAATTACCGTGGCTTTGGCGTATAGGACACGGTAGTGCGTTTTTGGCGTTGCGCTCAAAAGGTTAACAGACCGTGTGTTGCTACCATAAGTCTATAATTGTGGATGGAAGTAAGGTGTACGGATTGCAGTACAGTTCAGTTAAACATAGCAAGTGTTCGGAACTCGAAATTTAGTACGTGGACATATATATATCGATGATTTTTACAAATATTTTCCTAGTATTATGTACTAAGTTTAAGCTTTTTCAAATTCGAAAATATTTTATTCCTTTTGAAATAAAAATTCGCGCAACGAAGGGTAATATATTATGCAAAGCGCCATTAGCCTTCATTTTTTTTAGATAAGTATATAATGAAAAAGTCTCAGGAGTCTAGATAATCGTTATCCGAATACGAAAAATAGCACATGTGAAATAAATATATTATTAGCATTAAAAGAATGTTTGCATGTATACGTATTATATGAGGAGCAATTCAACCTCGTCTTAGGGTATAAAAGATATTATAAATAAAAAACTACCTTTTTCATATAATATAATCTTATTATAATAAAATTCAGAGAAACAGTATCATACATGAATAAATACAATACTATAATGTAATCATTAAACAATTTTGACATATTTTTTTAATAATCTGTTTCTTACGACGCGAAATGCAACGCATATTACAACAATATTGCGTATTTAACATTAAATTGTTAATAGTGACAGGAATGATCGAATGATTATTTTAACATCAATGATTATATAATTCGAATTTTGACTCGCAAGATAATATTACACTTTTGTAACAATATATGGAGTCTTCCTCTATGCTATGAACATTCTGGGGAGCTTGGTGTGGAGTTTTAATCTTTATAAATATCGTTAGCTAACTATTAAAACAAGAGGCCCCAAAAGTCCACAGACACTATATTCATCTTAATATTATCTAATGAAGGCATACCAAGGTGTGTTATTCAAACTGAAGCAACACGCGTGACAAATACAACTCTCGTACACGTTCGCAAACAATTACTCAAAATATAACATACACTAATTTTGCCTAAACTAAACCTAGTCGTATCAATTAATGTTTTATATTTATAATAATATATTAAAGTAACTAAAAATCCTATGTGATTTTTCAATTGTTTACCTCCTTGACATTGTTTACGAAATTGAAAGCATTATATACATATAACATTATAGTCGACTCTCGAAGAAAAAAATGGCGGTTATTTCTTTTGTACATAACAGTTCAGAATAACTGTCCTAGTATGAACAATTAAAGGGAAATTTTGCATCATTTATTAAGAACGTTAAGTGAAATATTACAGGCCCACCACAAACATAAAACTATTACTAAAATTTTACAAAAAATTTCTATTTTAAACAATAATTTTCAATATATTTACTCAGTTACAATACGATTACCTATTTTAAAGTTCGGAACGGTAGTAATTTAATAACCACTATATACATAAATATGTAATTATTTATCTATGCACCTGGTGGTTGATCTAAGCTTTGACGGCAAATCTATAATTTGGTCATAGCTGCTCAAATATTAACATATTAAGTTTATAGAGAAACATGTAGTGTCGTGTGTGTTGACACTATACAATATGTACACTTGCACTACATTCAACAACATTATGTACGCCTTTATATTATAGTAATTGTTATTTAAATAGAACATTAACAGCACTAAAATTCGTCCTTATGCCGATGCCACTATTCAAGAACATTTAATTTTAATATCTGTTATAATGCTGATTTAAGTATATCTTAAAATTGTAAAGGTAAACAATTTTATTTGAAAATTGCTTAATAAATAATACCATTAACTTCAAACTACATTATGTTGCATTATGAAACAATTAATTTATTATATATTGTAACAAACAATTTAAATGTGTGATAGTAAGATCAATCTCTACATTATAACTAATAAAATAGCAGCGTTGAGAGCTATTTTGCAGTATATTTTATACTTATATATCTCTTTTAGCTGGTAATATAGTCGTAATGTCAACTCGGCACTTATTTTATCAGTGTATTTATTTCTATATGTAGGCACCTTCGTATAAATCAAAAATTTAGGCCTTGGTAATATGACATTTCACCGCGTGTAATGTTTAATGGATACACCAAATCGCACTTAAATCGATAGAAAGTGCCACTTCCTGGTGTGACGGGTGCAAAGCGGTCTTGTGGGGTAGAGGCTACAGTACGGATTATGAGCGCTGACCTTCGCTTGCGCAGTAACTTTTTTTTTTAAATCTATTTGAAGTGCAGAGGTGACATTATTCCTGTGACCATCGAGCGAATTCAATAAGCACAATAGTTTAATTGGTTACATAATATGAAGGTGCGTGAACAAGGCGCACTTAGAGTCCAGCGCTCAATAGTCGTACCGAGTGGTGTATGTACAGCTTAGGTGCACGGGCTACGTCACGTGCGCTCAGAAGCGCGGCAGGGTCCCCCAAGCGAGGGGGGCGGGCGCGCCCTACATGCCGTAGCCGTGGTAGGGCGCGGGCGACGGCGCCTGCGCCGCGTACGCGTACGGCGACGCCTGCGCTGCCACGCCCGGGTACGCCATCGACGGACCTGCCACATAACAATTATATTAGCTAATTCTCCGCAACTATTGGACACCACTGGTCAAGCGTAACCATTTCACACATCGTACAGCCTCGCTACAGCTATATTATAGTTGTAACACGAATAGGTCAGATCAACCGGAGTAAAACCACGCTCTTAAAAAATAAGCAAATTAAGAACAGATTAACACTTCTGTTTCGTATGATGTGATGTGGATCCAGAGACCCTTTTCACTAAAAACGAGGCATTCCATCTTAGTCCTTAGGAGTAACAAGGCATCTGCATTTTAATTCTTAATCGAGGATAGTTCTATAGACCACAGCATCCACTTCCCATGAGATGAACTGTGTGCGTGTTTGTCACACCTATTCAATAAAAAAAACAACCACCCTTGTTGAACCATACACAGAATAAAGAAAAAGGAAATAATTAACTTTTTCCAGAAACACTAAGATACATAAAAAGTAAACAAAAGTGAAACCGATTTCAAGCTCTTACACTGTTTATATTTCTATTACTATGTTTTTCTTTATGATTATATTTATGAATAAGAGTCCATTAAAAATCAATTTATTTTCTGCTTCTACATAAAATTCTTGAATTATTAATATTTATCTGAGTATTTATAGAAAACAGGAATTAAAAAGATTTTAAAAATACTGTCAATTAACCGGTAGTTAGCAGTTCTGACTACAAAATGAGAAACATTAGGCACATGTATATTACTCATATAGCATAAACATATTAGCAAAATAAGTTTTATCTCGATTGATTTTTTAGAGTAACAGTCACAAAATGTTATTTCGATATTCCTTTGATCGAAATAATAGTATAAGGATAAAACTACCAGACTTCATCCCCATTCAAATTGAAATCTGAAGTAGTTTTCGAAATGGTACATAGTTTAATTTAATACTTTATCCAGAACCATACCAAAAGGCTTTTATGAACTGAAATATATAATGCCTCATTGGTCTAGTGGTTGTGGTGGTGCGAATGCTGATCGTGAGGTCCCGGGTTGGGCCAAAAATATCAGTTATTGAGTTTTCCCACTAAGAAGTTCTTTTTTAGTTATTATAGGAGGTTTATTATATCAAGGAGGATCCACCATGATTGTGACCTCGAACTACTTTGAATTTCATATATTATTAATTTTAAAGCACCAGAGGCTTTTATGTACTAACTACAAATTCAACAAAGAACTCACCTAAATCTAATGTCTTCAACATCTGAATACTATTCAAGTTATCCTCCTATCCTCCCTCTCCTTATCTCCTCTTCCTCCTCATCCTATCCTACCTCTATCTCAGATTGGTGCAAAAGTAACAAAATGCTACTAAATCCTAAGAAGTGTCTGTTTATAAAAATTACCAGAAGGAGAAACACTATTCCCTCCAGTTATTTTGTAGACGGAGAAAAATTAACAGAATCCGAAGTAGTCCGTGACCTTGGCGTAATGATCGATAAAAAATTAAATTTCAACATCCATATTGATAATATTGCATCCAAAGCATGGAAGATGGCAGGATTCGTAAAGCGAATATGTAAGGATTTGCGGAACCCTACACCTATTCTCACTATATACAAAGCTCTTATTTGTAGCACACTAGAATATGCATCACCTGTTTGGAACCCATCATACCAAATTCACAGTGATCGAATAGAGCGTATCCAGCCAAGTTTTACCCGCTACTTAGCCTTTAAAGATCAAACTTGTCCTTACCGTGCTGACTATAATACTAGGCTATCCCACTTCAAATTACAGTCTCTCGGAAAAAGACGTCGACTTAGTGATCTTAAAACACTTCATAAGCTAATTCACGGCCTCCTACTATCACCGGCACTGTTAAATCAATTAAGTATCAGAGTTCCAAGATCTATTCCAAGACATCCGATTACCAAAATCTTCTGTTTACCCAACCAGAGAACGAATTTAGGTAAACGAGCCCCAATAAATAGGTTAATGCAAACGTATAACGACATAACCACCAACGGCGACGTCGATATTTTCCATACGGATAACGTATTAAAATTTGCTAGATTATGTAATAAGTACTTATAACTCTTTCTCTCTTTTTCAAGTTTAGCATTCGTTTCATTGTAATCAAATTACTTGTAAATTTATTGTATATTGTTCTAGTTAAGTAAGTTAACAACTTTCTTATATTAGCTGCACTATTTTTGTGAAGGTTGTATATACCTTTAAAGGCGAATCATTTTGAACAAAACCAATTGTGTTATATTTAACAATGTCTAGTGATAAGCCAATGGTGTATCTGTTAAATAAATAAATAAATAAATAAATAAATAAAATAAATAAATTATCAATAGTGCAGGACATACTATAATGCCAAAAGTATACACTCAAATAGTTGAAATACATACCGGCTGTTAACATAAGCTGAGGTTCCATCATCATAGCCGGTTTGGCTTCATGCTCAGCACTCTCAGTACTGCGCTTTGCATCTGCTTCCTCGAGCTTCTCCACTTTTGTGGTCAATTCTCTAACAGTCTGCAAAAGACGAGGAAGTTTTTTATAGTATACTATATAACTTATAAGCCAATATTCAATTATTTAATTTTATTCATCAAGAAAACTTACTTGGATGAGGAATGGCATAGCAAAGTCCATTATGTTATGCCTCCATGCCAGTTCAATAACAATATCAGGTTTCAATAAATCGTAACACTGTAAAATTAAAAATCCACAGTCAAATTAAAAAAGGTTACATAGAAAAAAGAAAAAAATAGAAGAAATTGTACAAATATCGTAATTTTAAATAGGTTTTTTTACTAATTTTATTGATACAGAATCTATATCAATAAAAAAAACTATTAATTAAAAGCCACTAAAGAAGTGATGAAATAATTTCACTGTACTCCTATGTTTAAAACCAAGTTTTATTAGGTGTAATATTTACTAGTATTATTTCAGATTTCTGGATGAGAAATAATAAGATTTGTGCTAAAAAAGTAGTTATTTTTGAGAATTCCGTTTTGTTTTTCAGATATAGTTTATTTTAACATAATTTTTGCAAATTAAAATGTTTCTAGGTTGAATGTTTTAACTAAAGTGAACTCCGAAACGGCAGAAATATTTATGCGTAAAACGAACTGATTAATTTTACTGTAAGTAACGACAATGTGTGTACCTGGTATAAACAGGCAGAGAAACATTCATAATTATCTCGTTCAAGGAACCAGTTAAGCAGTTCCTCCGCGACCTCGGGCTGCCGGGACTCGGCGGCGTATTCCATAGCATCGGCATACAAGGCGTCCTTCTTGCACAGTTCCACACTTTGCTTCCATCTGTTGTTGCCTGTTCAATAATTTTTTTTAAGTATATGTTAAGAGAATCAAAATAAATTGCTTAATATATAACGCGTCTCGGTAATAACGGTAGATAAATTTGTTTCAGGCTATATTTTCTCTGCTTTAATGGTCCCCCCCACATGGTCAGCTAAAATGATCAGTTGAACTGACGTACATTCAAAACCTGACCATGAGTGTGAAATCTTAAGTAAATTTTTTTAACTGACGACAACACACGAATTTTTTCGGGCGTACTATCAGTTGAACCTGCTCAGTCGAACCGACATACATTGAAAAATTGATCGTGAGTGTGAAATCGATGACATATTAATGGTTCAAAGATCATTTTTTGTAAGCGACAAGTTTAATATATAAAATATACTTAATCTTAATAAATGAAACCTATCACAATTGGGATATTATAAAAATCTATCTAAATTAACCAAAACCTTGAAAGTTGTGCAAATATACCAGTACTTTATAACACACATTTGAAAATAAACATAATAAGTAATACCTTTGTAAAGGTAAGCAGCAATCCTTCTGAACTCAGTAAGCTCGTGTTTTTCTAATTGTTGTGCCAAAGCGATCGTGTCGAAATTGTCGAATGCATCAATGGACGTTCTCAGACCCTGAAGATAATAAATATTTTGTTTTTGTACCATAAAGCTATAAATAAAATTAACTGCCAAGCATTAAATGCAGTACTTGAAATCAGTAAAAAGATGTAAGTTATATAACTGGTTAGCAGAAAAGAATACGTCACTTCATAATCAAGCCATAAATATTGCAAAGTAAATTCATGTAATATTAATCTGTCATGTGTTTGTTGCCAAAGAGCAGTACAAACTTTTATCCCTTAATTAAATAAAAATTTGGTTCTAGCATTGTTACTCCACCAAATCTAAGAAACAACTTTTGACAGCTGCCTCATTTATTGGAAAGCATTCCAACTGAAAAATTGGTACCTACAATATTCGAAACTTTATGATATCGATATTGGTTCTTTAGACTAGTTGGTAATCATATAATGTATGCAACTCTAAAAATAAAAATTTAAATAATCAAATAACAAATTAGCTTAGCATGAATTTGAATCATCCAAACATGGTCGTTTTGCACGGGGTATGGTGCTTAAAGACTTATTGAAACAACATCAAGCATTAAAGTTGATTATAAAAAGATTCAAATTTAAATTTGTGATAAAGAACTATACACATTGTAATAAAATATACAGATAACTTCATAATTCTTTGGATTTACGTGAAAGGTTATTTTAAATTATGTGTAGTACGCTTGTACAAAGTTATTGTGGAATGATTAATGTAGAATGTCAAAGGGTATTTCATAGATTTGGTCGTGGATCCGCCTGACAACTATGATATCTTACAGTAAGGGCAGAGACTCTCAACTTATGAGTGCCCTTTGGGCAGTGATTTGTGTTACAATGTTACCACCAGCCTGATGGTAACATTATGAGCAGAACATTAATTCACAAACACATATTTAAATTAAATACATACCTGGTAATCTTCTTCATCAATAAGCAAAGAGTTAAGTGCTTCATTCACAGCCTTATTGTTTAAGCTCTGCACAGATCTCAGATAGGCCTTCACTAGCTGAAGATGACCAGCCTTGGTAAAGAAGTTAACTGCTCGGGTGTGGTCCATGCGTGGTGCCAATACCAACAGTAGGTCGTTAAGTAGCAGTGGTTTGTAGTCGAGGTAAAACTGGATGGCTTTGTAATACAGCTCCATGTTTGCAACCTGGGATAGCAAGTGTAAAGAAAAAGTTAAAGAACAAATTGTAATCAAATGTGATGCTTAAATAGAGGGATTAAAAATCAGTTTCAAATTTCAAGTAGTTATGTTTAGTCTAACAAACATAATTTTCAATAAAAATGTATTACTTAATGATTTGTGTACAGTTATATTTAAATGTAATAAATATATAATTAATAATTTCATAGTTATTAAGGGTTAAGACTCACCTTGGTAATAATATCCTTAAAGTGTCCTTCACGCCAGGCTTCGGTTGGATGTTGCATCATAGTAAGAGCCGCATTGTCGTACTCTTCGTACTTGTCATATAGGAACACTAGCTCTGACCACAAATGCGCATGTTCTGCTGCTCGTAAAACCTGTCATTAAACAACATGTTAATAAATATTGTTACAATACAAAAATATTCATCAGAAATCATTGATTTATAATTTAGTAATTTTTGGGTATGTTCTGAAACATTTCCAGTATACTGCCGAATAAAAAATAACGTCATCAATTGACACTGTAATATTGTACTGGCTGCCGCCGCCATATTGTGTCAGATTGTTGATGAAAAGGAAATCCAAAATAGTATAAAAAAATAAATACTAAATATAGCTGTGGTGAAGATGATATACCACCACCGGCACTTTTAAAACAATGCACTGAAGAATTTGTCTATCCCCTTACTCTTTTAGTAAACCAAAGTTTTCAACATTGCATATTTCCAGACCCTCTCAAAATAGCACTAATAAAGCCGTTGCAAAAAAAAAGAAGATAAAAAAAAACCTTAACAACTACAGACCAATAGCCCAATTGCCCACATTTTCAAAGATTTACGAAAAAGCAATGTGTAATAGACTCTACCCATTCCTTGAAACATATGAAATACTAGATGATAGCCAAAATGGATTCAGAAAATCAACATCAACCACCCTAGCTGTATAATAGTTAATTACTAAGCAGTAAATTACTAAGTATTAAATAAAATTTTATTTTCAAAATATCCAATTATAATATAATGATGTTACATAGTTATACGTCCATTTAATTATTTTATTGTATATTTCTAGTATATTGAAACGCCCGACAGGGTCTATAATAGTCACTGTAACTGCTAATGTACTGTACATTATAGAAGCAATAAACGATTTGAAATTTGAAATATCCGGCCATAATAAAACAATTTTTAATTGTGTGCGCTGAATGAAGCATCCCAGAATTTGTTTTTATTTATTCACATATAAAAAATTATAGAATAATTGCTGGTATCTGCATTAGGATATAATGATTTTTGGAGACAAAATGATAAAATAATCGCCAACACTTCAATATTGCACAAATGTTTGACGTCATATACTGTCCTATGTTTTGGAACGAATCACCAGTATAGCGTCGATTCATGACTTCAATTGCATTGGATAGTACACTGGGTTCTATTTTGGAACATACCCTTTGTTTTGACATATTTTATTTCTTTAATCTAAAGAATTTCTTACAAAGCTCAATTATATATAATAGTATTATAAATAACTAAATATTTACCTTTGGAATATTGACTCGCGACCAGAAGAGTTCCAAGTGCTCGCGCATTTTGGCTGGCTTGTACTTTGAGTAGAGGATGGCCAACTCGGTGAACATACCCATGTGGGCGCGTTCTAACCCTAGAGCTGCCTCCAACAAGCTGATGAGCTCATCAAAGTGCCCTCGGTCCTGGAAAAATGTTAACATCAAGTTTTAATTTCCGTAACAATCAAACAAATCGCAAATATGACGTAGTATGCAATTAACCACAGAAACGGATAAAACTTCCAGCTGCCGTCGACAATTTTTTTTAACAATGGCACAATCGGCCAACATTCGCCCGAACCTATGCGAACTCATTTCAACCAGAAACTAAACTTTCATATACAGGGTTATTTTGGAATAACCGGCAATATTTTAACTGATTTTTCTATTTCACGCACACATTCGTACGGGTCAAACGGTAGGCAAAAATGTTGTTGCCCATAAATCATATTCAATTTGAAAGAATTTCAAATAAAAGTAGAAGCCTAATTTACTTGATTTTCAAAAACTGCAATAATGGTAAGCATATCATTATTTATATATTTAAACTTAAATTTTAAATTTGGCTAGTCTTTTAAAAATAATCCTGTATGGGCAAAACAAAATGAATGAATTTTGGGAAAAACTAGAACAGCCTATACTAAAAATATATTGTAATGAGAATAATCTGATACTCAAAGCCAATAGAGTTGAAGGTGCACTGCTAGAGATCTGAAGAGGATGAAAAAGACCACAAGAGGTTCCTAAAATCAAGTCACAGATATTTTACGCAAAACGGCAACCAACATTGTTATATTTTTTTTTATCTTTTTAAAAATATTGCCTCAAAAGAAAGTGATGTTCAGCCAGTTGGGGAAGGTGAACAGGTTGTACAACAATAAATGAGGTGTCGATCAACCACATTGTTATCAGTTATATAGTAAGTGTGTGGGGGAAGCTGAGATTTAACCAGAACGTTGGTAAATATAGAAATGCTATATGACTGAAGAGGCAAATGATGTTTATATAAATGATAGATGAAAGAAGATAAATGATAAATATGTGGTTGTTAATAATGCATTCCAGTAATAAGGACTTTCGCCAACAGGTCAAGCTTTAAGATAAGGGTGACAAAGGAGCACACAGTCCATCTGAATTTCAGATGCATTGTCACCTACGAGGACTAAGATGGAATGTTTTGCTGCCAATGGGTCACCAGTTCTCTACACTCACGCGTCTAGATTGACGCCTAAGTGTATAGAACTGCATGTTATTATAGATATTGTGAGAGCATGGCCCTTCCCTGATTGAGCCGACCTATTCGTGCTACAACCATAACCGTGCCGCATGGCTCTACCACATACAAAAGCTAAAGATGGTCATGACTTTCTTCTTTCAGGAGGTATGTAGTTTAGACCTATTTGATTCTCGACAATACTTCTTCTCTGATCAAACTGATTGGAACCCCGGCCACAGCAACTGTGCCGTGTTTCCAACCCTAGTTTCAAATAGGCACACTTGCCTGATTCAATATGACTGCATGAATAGGAGGGGCACTACATTGTCAGAAATGAAACTCAAATTGATGTTGTCCACTTTCCATACTACAAAATAACTTTTTTCGTACTTTTTGTAAGCATACATGATTAGACAGTTTGTTTGTTTTCTTTTCTATTTTGTCTTAATTCTATTATATTCCCTGTTTATTTGCTATTACAATAAGCCTTTAGCAAAGACTGTACAACTTTCATATAAAACCCATTGGCATACTATGCCAGCGCCCCATTTGAGGTGCAGTCCTGAATTTCAGATAATCTATAATAAAAGAAAATCTATAATTTTTCCAAAATGTAATACTTTGGGAAAATATGAGTTAATTGCGGAGTTAAAAAAAAGATAGGTTTAGGTGTCCATGGCCCACAGCAACCACTTACTATCAGATAGACTGTATGTTTGTTTTTTGTCACTCTAATATAAAAAAAGCCTTTCTATTTGCAGTTTGTAGTTAACGACTGCTTTTCCAGTAGTCAAGCTCTAACATATATTAGAATCCTACCTGATAATAATTGATGAGATCCTCCAGTTCATCAGCATGCACAACAATGTGCAGACCGCACATCTGTGCCAGTCTAAACTCGCCTGCGTCCACACACGCAAAGCAAACTTCCTTCCACGTGCGAGTCGAGTTCGCTTTGCGCGCACTATCAACCGCACCTGTGGATTGGAAACACGTTTTTAATATAACCTTCGATGGGGTTACTCAGGACCATACTTTGTGGCTATCTATTGGGAAGACTTATTTTCAGTAGAGCATTTGTGATACGCTGTAGTAGTAGTAGTCTATAGTCTGGTTTAGATGATTGCATAGCCAAAAATTCAGAGTATAATGCGATTCAAATAAGAATACGAACATTAAATATAAATTAATTTAAAATATTGATACTAACTGATGGAATATACGCTGTAGTAGTAGTAGTCTATAGTCTGGTTTAGATGATTGCATAGCCAATAATTCAGAGTATAATGCGATTCAAATAAGAATACGAACATTAAATATAAATTAATTTAAAATATTGATACTACCTGATGGAATATATTAAATGACTACATAAATTCATGTTCTATTTTTATAAAAGTAGCTGTGATGGTAACACAACACAAATGCCAATGATGGCTACTCTCAGACTGTAATTCAGAGATGAGCGAAATTGAAACACTATATTCAGATTAATACAATTATGTTCATGGTTCTTTTGTAAATGAATACAATTTGAAAAATATCTCTTTTTGAAATAATATTTATTTACGAAAGATTGCTTACCCTACCTAAGTGGTTTGAATTGATAGCTATGTCTCAATATGGCGCCAGGTCAGTCCTATTCTTATTTGAATCAACATTTGTATTTGTTTTCATACTGATGTCATAGTAACCGAGCTTACCTCTTCTATCCATAAGAAATACATCTGTCATGAGTCGGTTAAGACAAGTTTGTTTTTAAAACAAGTAGTTTATTAAATTTATGCCATGATTGATCATCATCATCATCATAGCTCATTTCATCTTATCTATCAGCCCACAAACAATCCATATTCATTGTCCACAGCTGGATTTCTTCCATAAATGGGAGAATCAGCTGTAATGGCCATGTTTCTATCCATAGAATACTATAATACACAATAGAATGGCTGTCAACCTTATTTTGTACAGAGGTTCGGCGTCGCCACGAGCACACATATAAGCAATTACGTCGTATTATCAGTTAATCACTACTACAAACCCGACTCGCTGTGTTGACATACGGATTTTAATACATATTTATTTGTAAACAGCGTGCAATTTGGCATTTTCTAAATAATTTGCATGCGAAATTTGGAAACTATTGTAACGTCAAAACACATCTAGTGTTGACATTTAACCTATCACTCACTGCGCCCGCCATAACAAAAAACAGGTACCGAGGCGTCGTCGTCACCTCAGCTGGGGGCACTTGTTTTAAATATTTATGTTTCTCATGACCTTTCATTTATGTTTAAAGAGGTTTTAGTTACAGTTATTTAAAGCCGCTAAGATTTTCGATACGTAGAAACAATAACCATAACATATAAATGTTTATTTTATTTTGTACAGCTCTTTGTTTCTAACGGATCTTGATAAAGTGTACTTACTGACTATAAATTTTATTTTATGAATGAAATATCGTAAGTTTTTATTTTATTTTTATGTCTTTACAATCAATACAACTTATTCTTCCTAAATGAACCGAAATTATGCATGTAATAATTATAATAATTCTACTTTTTCACTTGCAAAGTCAATTCAAAAAGTGTCTTGTCAAGTCAAAAATCCTATCTGAATTATATCGAACTTAAACAATAATATTTGAGGAAGGAAACATACAATCGCTATATTTATGACTTTGAAATTGGGTCTGATGGGAATACAAATCCAAGTCACATGACTCAATAGGCAGTACTGCGTTTGACCTGTTACGAAATAGATACCGCGGCTCCGGAACGTAAGGGCACTGAAGGAACACGGATGGTTTTTAGTCAGTAAAGTTCTGACACTCCCTGCTACGCAAGCCTCCACCCAGAGCGACAGGGGTCATTAGATGATTTTCCGTCGCGCAAAAAAAAAAAATGACTCAATATGTGTGGCGAAGTTCAAAAGTCTTGAATTTTTTTCATTTGACAAGGCAGTTATCATAATATAATTACAGCCGAAACCAAAAGTAAAAAAAATAAAGTTACAGCCTATATACATCCCACTGCTAGGCGACAGGCCAATAAAGAAATAATTTTCTCTTACCTTGGAATTCCTTCAGATGCACCAGGGTAATAGCCAATCGGGCAAAGTTACTGACATTGTTGTAAAGCAGTTTTGCTGCATTGTACATTTTGTCTTCAAAACACCGGTCACCAATCTTTTGTATGTCAGCATGGTTAGGCCCAGAGATGAACTCTTCCAAGTCAGCCAAACGTCCAGTGCGTGCATACGCGTAAATAAGTTCCGATTCAATGTAGGATTCGCGTGCCTTCTTGCGTGCCATCTGTAATTATATTAAATAATCTTAGATATGTGTGCTAGAATAACATGATTATATTATAATAATATCACTGAAATCAAACCCTATTTTAAAAAGAAATAAAGTAGACACTTGCCTGCAAATACCTCACAAGGTCTTCCCAAGATTGCTGCTTAGTGGCAGTATCCACTACATCCATGTAAGCTGAAGGGTCGTCAGCTTTGATGTAAGAATCAATGGCCTCCTTCACTAGGCCTTGCTGCAGCTGTGCTTTGGCCAGTTGCGACCACACACCCGGCTCATTGCAGCGCTCGGCAAATTCGTATGCGCGTTTGAGGTCCTTCACTTGTTCTATCAACACCTGACAATATAATATAAGATAAATAACTGTCATAAATATATGTAAACACAGAAAATCTTCGATATTAAGCTTTCCAAAAGCGTAATATTTTGCCTTAAACTATTACAAGGCGACATGTGAAATTGATCTCGAGCAGAACAATTAATATATGACACTTGGTTCATATCTTACCTGTATAGCCGAAGTATTAACATCGAATTTTTTAAAGATAGCAAAGGCCTCCTCATACAGCTCATTGTTGATTGCGATGTTTGCAATATCAGGAGCATCGTAATTGTCTAAGCGGTTGATGTACTCCATTACGCGACTACGATCCGCCTTAATTGCTGTTGAATTAAAAATAATGATGTTAAATAAGCATAGTCTATAGTTAATAATTTAAAAAAAAAACTTTTAAAACATACAAAAACTACAATTTCATCAGCATTTTTTTCTTTCTGAAAATTACAGTAATATTGGCTTGTTTCATTGTAGGAAAGTTTTGCCTTGATAACGATACTTAGAAGGTAAATTGGTGATCACAGTATAAGATGTATTGCACCTACCTTTGACTCTTGTCAGTCTGGATATTTTACATTGAGTATAATATACAAGATGGTGCTAACACATCCTATAGGAGGCCATAAGGAGTTTCTGGTTATTCATATAAACAGATATCCGTGGGACTAGTGTTTCTACAACGCAGCTATCGCACAACTTTCATTGATATAATTTTTAATACATACCTGTAAGTATAAGCAAGTTTTGAAGGTTTCTGTGATCAGAGAATACAGAATTATCAAGTACAATCTTCTCAAGCAACTCAATCAGTTCATTCGGTAAGTCTGCTGTCATGAAAGCCTTCACTGTTACAGAGATATCTTCAGGGTCTTGAGTTTCAGATAGTGCTGTTTGTACAACCTAAACAATAAAATTTATTTAGGTAAATACAATTTCAGATTCTTGCATTATTTCAAAAAACTATAATTATACACAATAATTGGATTCAAAAGGGCTCAATGTTATTGTTACACAAGTATTGGCTTTATATCCTCGCCTAAACATTAAGACTTTAAAGCTTAGTGTTATTACTTTCTTATTTACATATTTTATCATTTGATTTACCAATTACTTATTGTGTTTATTACAGATTAAGAAAACTTTTCTGATTGCATTGCTCGACACAAACGGATGTTCTGAGTAATTTAAGAATCTTGCCTTTAAAAGAATCTATTGACATCTCGTTGACACGGTGTAACATCAACTGTTTTTTATAAAACATTCACATAATATGTAGGACAGCTATGCAAAATAGACCATATAATACTTTTTCCTAATAAATTTTAATAAAAAACAATAAAGCAATGAAAGTGAAGTGGAAGAAAGTAAGTTTATTTTTTTCATCGAATGTTTTTAATAGAAATTATAGTCTAAGACCCAGCTGCGAGATTACTGTGTACATGTAGTTTTTATTCAAAATTTAATTTTAAAATATAATAATAATTTTAATATTTTTACATGGTAGAGCCACGCTGCAGCTATATTATGGTTGTAGCACGAATAGGTCGGCTCGACCGGGAAGGACCACGCTCTCATAGAATACCGCCGTAAAATATCAGCGTAATACTGCTGTGTTTCGTATCGCGAGTGTTGAGATCCGGAGACCCTTTTTTACTGGAAGCAAGGCATTCCATCTTAGTCCTCAGGGGTGACAACCCACCTGCGTTTTTATCCTTAATTGAGGATAAATGTAGATGTCTATGGGCCACAGCATCCGCTTACCATTAGGTGGACTGTGTGCTCGTTTGTCACCCTTACTCTATACAAAAAAAAATACATTTTTGCTAGGGTGGTATCAAAATGTGGTCGCAAGTATTTTTAATCAAAAGTATATTATTTGTTGGTTTGGAAAAAATTCAATTCAATTGTTTTTTAAATAAATTATATACCACTTCACAGGAATATATGTAAAGAACTTGGAAAGGTTTGGTTGCAGTAGCGCGCTTTGGCGCAACCTCTCCGCAGCCAGGTGTAAACAGGTTACTTTGTTACAGTTATAACTTCATGACATATGTTCATTATTTATATGTAAAATTATTGCTACTTTTTCTCTAAGCATGATAGAATATGGTTGCCTATGTTAAAGTGGCCGCAAATAAGGGTAACTAGCTTTTAGACGAGGAATTGCCATCCTCGTTTAACAAATGATGAAGTGCACTACTTCTCTTTCACTTTAATCTATCTTTAACTGTTAGTTACACTTATTTATTATATACTTGTGGCCACATTTTGATAGACACCATATTAAAAATGTATTTCCCCACTTATAATTACATATTAAAATTAGATTTCGATAAAAAACTACATGAATATAAGTAATCTTGCAGCTGGATCCTATACTATTATATGAGAAAATTTGGATTTTTATATATATTAGGTAGGTATATTATATTTTTAATTTTGAAACATTATTAATATTTTTTTCATTAACTCATTACCAAATAAACACAATTGAACATAGACATTATATTGAATCATAGGAATATTTTGCAATAGTCGCCACACTTGGCATGCCAGTTGGCATGTGTATGACTTAGTTACTTTCAGTTGTTATCAGGAAGATGCAGCTGTTTCAGTTTCCCACCGTCGCTCCTTACGAGACCCCACAGCATAATGTGGGGTATTCAATTCTCATATGCTGCAACTTCACGGATCTGAAAATTCTATAAATTAGACGACTCCGTGGCGCAGTGGCTTAGCAATGAGTTGCAGCTTTGAGGGCTGCGGGTTCGGATACCGTACGGAACAAGTATTGTATGATTAACAAACAATTTTTCTTAGTCCGGATGTCTATGTTTCCTTGTAATTTATATTTGTAAACTGCCTCCATGTTACAGGAGACAGTCCTAGTATAAAAATCTCAGTAAGTTTTATTTTTTAAATAAAAATAAAATGATGGGGTCGATTAGAGAATTATAATGAGTAAGTTGGTGGAAGTGCAATAATGTATTGTAGCAGTACCTGGTCGATGAGTTGGCGCTTGTAGGGGTTGGACTCGGCGAGCACCTCAAGCCAGAGGTCCTGGTCGCGGCGGCGCACCAGGTAGCGCGCCTGCGTCTTGAACAGCGAGTTGTCGTTGCACACGGCGATCAGCTCGCGGTCGCACTGCCCGCGCTCGTACGCCACGCACGCCAGGTGCGGGTCGCGCTTCTCGCAGTAGCGCCCCACCACGCGCGAGTCGTACCTGCCGCACACCAGCAAGCACACTCACGACCTACGCACTCATCCAACACGTTTAAACGTGCGGTGCGGAACGAGACGCTGGCGAAGTGTTCCCGAACGATCGAACATCCACTTATTAGTCCTTCGAAAGGTGTCCGGCAGGGCTGTCCTTTTACATTGTATTCCAATTTGAAACATTAAAACTAACCGCTCGTATGTTACACACATGAAGCAACTGTCACATAACAGTTGACTTACAATAAATAAATTGTCTATTGATATTTCAGTACCAGAAATAGCATTTCTTTACAGCAATTGTCTGGTAATATTGTTACGAGCTTGAGGTTCGTGACAATAAAAATTGCCGATAAAATTACCTAAATTAACACTTTAATTTACTTTACACAAATTAAAGTTAAAAACACTAATAATTAAACACACTAATTCACTTTATTCCGCTCCGAAGCTTCGCTTTTCTCGCCAAATCAACACTGCCTCGATCGCATCTTGCAACGCCTATATATTTAAATTAGCAAAGAAATATCCAGAATGTCCAAGTAAACACGCGCAAGGTACCGAGCGTTCGAGTTTCGACTAGGCGCTGTCGGTTGAGTGATTTGTGATGTCATTTTCTCAATGCTCCCCTCGCTCTCGTTCCTGACACTAGATGGCGCTAGTGTATCGTCGACTTGAGCGCGTAACAATATCATTGAATTTATTTAAATATGGAATTAAAAAAATCATTTTACTATTTTTTGTATGTTCCAGTTGTGACAACCCCAATAATTTTATTCACCATGACCAAGTCTAGACGATGTAGGCTTTTCCGACAACATCAAACGCAAAGTCTGACTATATGTTTCTTAGACTGTTCCAACACTGGTAAAGTGCAAACTAAACCACTTGTCCACTGTGAACATAAAGCATATCAGAGGAGCCTCACCGCCCCTGCCTCAGGTCACATACACCTTTGTTTATAAAACCAGTATAAATATTGCCACAAAAATACATGCAAATATAGTGGGTATTTACTCATCCTAATGCGCCAATATCCTAAGGAATGATTATGTAATTTATAGTCAACCAAATCTAAGAAATACGTTTTGACATTTCACATTAATCAATAACTTTGCACAAGCGTACTCACATGTTTTAAAATAACCATTTACGTAAATCCGAAGTATTATAAAGCTATCTATATTTCATTACAACGTGTATAGTTTTTTAGAATAAAATTATTTTTAATTTAGTTATAATTTTAAATGTTTATAACAGTGCCTCTAGAAATAAGCAGTACCTAACAAATACGTAGAAACTGATAAATCTTATGTTTTAAATTATCCATTTTAAATTTATTCTGGTATTATTCAAACCAAACTGTAAATGATTACCAACTCTAAATAATCGATATCGATTTTTTTAAGAATCAAATATTGTACGTTCCCATATTTTGGTTGGCATGCCTGGTGCAATAAGTCTGACAGCTGTCAAAATGTATTTCTTAGATTTGGTTGACTATAAGCTTGTAGTGAGTGTTCTAACCAATAGGCCATATGGTAGTTTATAATAAAAAAACCACTTTATAGTAAGATATGCATATCTAAGATTATTTCACAATTTTGGTTTTACTTACCATTGGTTCTCTTTAAGGAATCTTTCCGGGTTGTTATTAGAATCAATATAGATCTTAGCCAGAGCATTGTGTGTTGCCGGCTCAGTGCAGCCTTCATGGACGCGAGTTTCCAACCATGGCAGAAGGAGTTTCAATCTAGAAAAGTATTTCATTACATTATTGTTCCTAAATTGAAGCCCACGCGATCGAAGCCGCGGGTAGAAAGCTAGTCATAAAAAATTATCCGTCAATATTAAGTTTTTTTGCAGTTTTAATGAAGAGTAAACTTTATCATTTGTTTTATGCAGAGATAAGTTATATTATCAAAATAATTTCATAATCACAGCTGGTCTATATTTAATATAACAAAATTTTATGAAAAAAATCAAAATAAATTATTAATAAAAAACAAATTTCACTAATTAGAACTTACCTGTTTCTCTTCTCCACTTCGGCTACCAGTTCATCAGTTGAGAATTGTCCTCGAACTACCAATATCAGATTCTTAATGATATCTTCGGCGCAATCTACATCGAGAAGGCCACCCACAACTACTGGCAACCTGGAGGGATTGACCTGAAATTTTTTAAAAATGTTTTATGAAATATTATATATTTCATTATTTACATCAAAAGTCAACTGCTAAACATTGACCTCGGCATTATATTGCTTCGTAGTAATGGTGGTTAATATAGCGCATAGCGCAATATTGTAAGCACCCGCAAGTGTAATAACTGTAATGTTGTTATATGTGAAGTATTAGCGTTTCTACAAAACGTATTGGATGTAATGGATGAAGAGAGTGTACTACAATTATATACAACCTCTTTTATCTCAGAAGATATAGGAAAAGCCAAAAAATTATTATGCGAGTCTTTATCAAGCGGGGGAAAAAGATGCCTGTTAGACAAAAGGACGGCAAGAAAAAAGTATACAGGGACTTGGAGGACATGATCAGCCTGCTCAAGAGAACAAATCCAGAACTTTATCCAGTTTTCGTGGCAAAGGATCTTCACAAAATCCCTCCCGTAACATTTGACCATGTAGATGTCACCCGTTTACCTAAGGATATATCTAAGCTTCAGTACAAGGTTAGTGAGTTAGAAAAAGCATCAGTCACTACTGAAAAATTTGAATTACTCAAACAGGAATGAAGCATGCATTGTTGATTGATAGTTTCCAGTTGAGAAATAAGGTAAACACAAGAAGAGGAGCGTGTTTACAAAACAGTCTTGAATATGATAGTGGGCCTATAGGCCTCATACAACAATCGCGAGGAACAGCTGATTCAAAGGGTAACGGTCGGAAAATGGAACTCTTATCAAAAACACTTGATCAGGAACGTGAGATAGATTGCTCTGGCAAGAAGAAACGAGACGACAATTCATCGGATATACTGTGTGTGAGCGAGAAAACTGAAAAGAAACTAGTTGAAGAACAAAGAAACTGGTGCGAATCTGTCGCAATCCCCTACCAACGGTCAGCGAGCGGTACCAGTATCGGCGGGATATATCGAGTTTGAGTGAGGCGTCTTGGGCCTCAAAGGCGGCGGTACAACGTGCGAGTTTGTGTGAAGTGAGAGTGAATAGTGAGCAAAGGGTAGGGGCTGTGAATAATACGAACACGGAATGGAAGTTAGTGCAAAACAAGGGTTCAAAACAAAATAGATTGGTTAGTCAAAAAGGCAGAGCTATAACTGATCCGGATGATAAATTTAAAGCTGCAGACATAAAAGCGCCTTTGTTGATATCGAATGTAAGTACGGAACCAAATGAAGATGACATTGTTCAGTACATAAAAGAAAAAACGAATGAAATTGTATCGTTAAAAAAGATAAATATTAAATCTATTAGAAAATACAATGCGTTTAAACTGTATGTGTCAAAGCATAAGATAGACATGTTTTTAAATGATGAGTTATGGCCAAACGGAATTGTTTTTAGGCATTTTATGCATTTTATGTACAGAACTAAAGATAGGCAACCTAATTCGAGTTAGTTAGTCACATACTTTTATTAATTAATGTGTAGTGAAACCATAAAAAAGTTTCTAACATTTACAAGTTTTAACTGTAAGTCAGCTAAGCGTTCTATAGATGATATTAGGGGCATATGTATGTGGTCTGATGTGGTATCTCTTCAGGAAACATGGCTACTCCCATATGATGTTCCTTTCCTAAGCTCGATTAGTCGTGAGTTTGAATATACGGGTAAGTCTGCAGTAGACACATCGGAGGGATTATTGAGAGGAAGACCTCATGGGGGGGTGGCCATTCTCTGGAGGAAGGGTATTTTTGAGTCAGTTTCTGTTGAAAACTGTAGTAGCTCTCGATTAGTGGCCATTACAGTCACGACTGGGGGTCGCAATATTATTGTCTTTTCTGTTTATATGCCTACGGACTGTCCGGACAATCTACCAATTTTTACAGATATATTGAGTGAGATCAATGCTATCATAGCGAGTAGGGATATAGAAAATGTTTTTATGATTGGGGATTTTAATACGCACTCTCATAAACTATTTTTTAATGAACTGAATAACTTTTGTTCTGATCAGTCGTGGGTTTGTGCGGATATAGCATTGGTTACCTTCATAAGTGACGCTCATGGAAGTAGGAGGTGGCTAGATCACTGTTTAGTATCCAAATCAGCCTGGAATGCAATTAAGAGTGTAGGTGTCTCCGAAGATGTTTACATTTCTGATCACTTACCAATATATTTAGAATGTAACTTAGAGGTGGTCAGGCCTAAACGGACAGTTAGAAGTCATGATAAAAACCTGGTCTTATGGGGTGAAAGAACAAATGTAGAAACGCAATGTTACCAAATTGTAATAGCAAATTGCGGGACATTGACTTTCCTCATGAGTTTACACAGTAGTAGTTCCCATTGTGAAGAACAAGACGGGAGACATCTCTGACAAGGGTAACTATCGTCCTATTTCCTTAGCGACTATCATAGCAAAGGTGTTGGACGGTGTGCTTGATACCATCTTAAGTGACCACATTCAACTGCATGACACACAGTTCGGGTTTAGACCAGGACTATCAACCGAAAGTGCTATCTTAAGTCTGAAGCACACCGTTCGATATTACGTAGATCGTGGTACCCCGGTATATGCCTGTTTCCTTGATGTTTTCAGGGCATTTGATCTCGTCTCATATGACGTGCTCTGGAGGAAGGTAGAGGACAGGGGTGTACCGTCAGAGATATGTGGTCTGCTCAAATATTGGTACAGTAAACAAATAAATAATGTGAAATGGGACGATACTCTTGGTGAACCATATAGGTTGGAATGCGGGGTAAGGCGGGGGGTCTAACGTCTCCCAGATTATTCCATTCCATATATCCAGAGTAGATATTGAGAGGGAACACAGGGCTCTAGCAGTCAGGAGTAACATGCTGGCCCGTAGATTTGCTCGATGTACGGACCTAGTTAAAATTACCCTATTTAAGGCATACTGCCAGAGTCTGTAATCTATGGATCAATTACACTAAAAGTAAAAGGTCGCTGGATGTCCTGCGTGTTCAATATAATAACGCTTTCAGAATGTTGTTGGGACTGCCTCGCTACTGTAGTGCGTCGGAGATGTTTGCGCAAGCTCGCACGGACGGCTTTCATGCGATAATACGTAAGAAAACAGCTTCGCTGCTAAGAAGGGTGAGAGATAGTCACAACAGCATTTTAAAGACAGTAGCGGAGAACTATAATTCTCCGATTTTGAAAAAGTTTGTCCACACTTTAATGTTTACTAACACTAGTTTATAAGTCAATTGTTACTAACACTACTATGGATTAATTTTGGTCCGAAATAAATATTATTATTATTATAGCGCACTATCTCTCCATAGCGCATAACGTGTGTTATGTAAGTAGGCTCTATGGCGCTTTGGCGCGATTAAGTATTAATATCTAGTAAAGTTGTTCGAAACGACTATAAATCAATAGCACGCTACAGACTATAAACTATAAATTTCTAGCGCGCTATTAAATACGCTATGTTATAGCGCACTATTTATAAGAAAGCGTGTAGGAGGCCGGCAAGCGCGTTAAGTTTTGCAGCACCCTATACCTCGTAGCACGTTACATTAGATGTCGTTCGTTGGATAGACCGCGTACTATATAGGAACATTATTTCGTAAGAAGTCGCATTTTAGACTAAAATAAAATAAAGCGGTAAAGAAAAACCAATGAACGCTTTTTCATACTTTTCAGACTTACGACTTTCTATAATCCGAAATAAAATGATTTATTTTCTAAATATTTAAACGTCATTTTAACCTTAATACAAATTATAAATCAAATGACTGTGTATTTAAAAGTTTATTGATTGTATTTATAAAAATCAACTATTTACATACACTTTTGTATCTATATTTTATTTACATTTAAAAACATTAGTTAGGTTTCTTTTATAGCAGACAACTTATAAATAGTGCGCTACAACATAGCGTATTTAATAGCGCGCTAGAAATTTATAGTCGACAGTCTATAGCGTGCATTTGATTTATAGTCGCTTTGAACAACTTTACTTCATAGGAGAGATTTTGCCATAGATGCCACTGCCATTTGGTTTGGCTACCACAATTCTTATCTTTCTTTGATCTCAGGAAGATGCTGCCGCCAATTTCCAGTTTCAGTCCCTCTGTAGCCTCTTATGACACCCCCGGGATTGATATGCGATGTGGGATTATCTTATCTTACATGGTATGGAACATTAATGAAAGTTAATTAAACCGTTGATATGAGCGTCAACACATTTGTATTTGAAATGAATAATAAAAACCATCATTAAAATATAAGCAGCCGGTAAGCGAAATTAAGGGCGGCCTTCCACTTGATGGAATGATGGCTTATGTCACTACAACATAAGCAATTAATTATTATAACTAATATTACATTTCCTGAATTACCTTCTGTACATAGATCTCGATGTACTTTTGCAGACTGTTCCTGTACAAGTAGAGCACTAGGTCGTGCACAAAATCGAAGCGATCACAAACTATGATGAGCGGCAATTGATCAGGCAGTTTAGCTTCTTTAAGGAAGTTTTTGACACGCTCCGCGTTGTAGCAGTTCGATTCGCGACAAATGCGTTCTACCTCCTTTATCTGTCCTGTCTTGCAGGCCGCCTAAAAACAAAAATAATTATGTTATATATACCACATTGCCAATTGGAATACAAAATTTATGGTCCTACCATGTAGAATTACCTCTTATATTTTCTAGTTTTGAAAAATTACAGTTGTAAGGGACTCTCGTACATTTCACACAAACATACAATCATACACTCACATACACCCTTCCTATCAGCTGGCTGACGTCTCGTCTCGCGCGGCGTCGTCGATAAAGACCAAATATGATAATATCGTCATGCAGTGGTTGCGGGTAGGCGGTATGAAAGCACCGCCCCCCTTGATCGGTCGGCCAGTCGCTTATGTGCTTCGACGCGGAGAGATTGTCGCATTGTCGCACACTCTAAAATTATTTACGTGTGCCGATCTTTGTTAATTTATTATCTTGTTTTTAGTTTCTCTCTATCGCTGTACTTCTTCCTTATTGTCAAAACTTACGTTGCATTCTCCTTCTGTCTACTTATTTCGGTGTGAATTTATATTTGTGTGTGAACATTAAGTCGCGAGTGTTTATAGGATTACCTTTTACTACTCTTTCCTTCTGTCTACACACATCTAGCAGTTACATCACTCCACTACATTGGTGACCCCGACGTGATTTGACCACGCATAGAAGGAACTGCCTCGTTGGTTTAGTGGTTGTATTAGTGCGACTGCTGATCATGAGGTCCTGGGTTCGAATCCCGGGTCGGGTCAAAAAGTTAATTATTAAGTATTTCCGTCAAGTAATTCTCAGTAGTTGCTCGGAGTCAGCAAGTTGGCGGTGTCTCACCACCGTGCCTCGGAAAGCAGGTAAGCCGTTGGTCCTGCGCCTAATCTCTCTCCGGTCGTGTCGGTTTACCGTCCCATCGGATTATGAGAGTGAGAGAATAGAGAGTGCACCTGTGCTTGCGCATACACTTGGGCACTATAATCCTGTCCTGCGTCGATGGCTAGCCTCCGTTGAGGCAGGCCGCCGTGGCCGGAATTCGGTCTGGAGCACATTAATTTATTTATTTATTATTAGAAGGAATCATATTTTGATGTTAATTAACTGTAAAACTTATTTTTTAGATTTTGAGTGGGTCATTCTCACCTGAATATACTTGAAGTGGACTTCTGGATCTTGACTGAAGTTGACTATTGAGCCCAGGAAATAGAACAAACCCTCATAAGTTTTGAAGCTTTCAAATAATTCAATAAGAGCTTTGGTTGTAAGTTGCTCATGGTATTTTGTCGCGATCTGAACGCAGATCTGAAGGTTCTGACGAATATTCGCCTGAAGCATTGCCTTGAGGCATTCAAGAGAGTCTTCTACAGAAAGTGTGCCAAAGTAAGTAACAAGCCAATCTGCTGACAGTAAATGGGTGTGGACCTGTAAATGGAAAATAAAATATAAGAGTTTAATTTGAATGTGAAATGTTAAAACTCTGTTACTTAATTCGTTTACATATATTAGCTTACATATTTTACAAATAATTATAACTACTTACAAAATGTATATGTCGCAGTTATATTGTCAATAGCTGCGACATATACATTTTGTAAGTAATATATTTTCACTAGTGATATTATAGATTATCAATCGACTTCATTTCTTACAATTTAACGGGCCCGGTCGACGGAGCCCTGCTTCGCGAAGCTCCTACTTCCGAGTGGTTTATAAAAAAATAACCACGAAGGAGATGGCGGGGTCTATTCGTTCGCTCACTTATCTCCTTATAACCTAACCAGTCAGAGTCGGGATGCCCTAAGAAATGAAGTTGATTGATAATCTACCGTTCAATTATAATATCACTAGTGAAGTTGTAATATCACGGCTTTCACAATATAGCTGCGATATATATAAGTATAAAATCTTAAATGATTGCAAATATTAAGAGAACATAAAATGTAACGACTACGAAAACATATTACGCCGTTTAATTTTTAAATCCAATGCGAGTCCAATTTCGTACGTTTTATATGGCACAGCCATGTTTGTACTGTACTATGGCCGCAGCACAAATGGAGTTGGAACACACTAACACATTAGCAGCCGAATGCTGCTGTCTTTTGTAAAATTTAGTGTAAAGGATTGAACTCTTTTTACTCAGTCCCTAGAGGTAGCAACACTTTAGATTTTTGATGTTGATGTCTATGGGCTCTCTACTTTCAGGCAGATGGAATGTGTGTTCCTCATTCAAAAACTTGTAACAAAGGAAAACCCGATGATTTTATTCAGTAAAGGTTACACAAGCACTTTTGCAGCTCCTTTATGTTAGTTACCCTTTATCTATTTTTACCCTGGAGCTAGTTTTGACTAGTTATTAAGTCTGACGTTTTCATCACTCGACAAATGAAATAGCAATGCTATTCTGAGTTTGTGCATTTTAGTGCATGTGTACGTGTGTAAATGTATGTGTGTGTGTGTGTGTGTGTGTGTGTGTGTGTGTGTGTGTGTGTGTGTGTGTGTGTGTGTGTGCGCGCGCGTGTGTGTGTGTGCGTGCTAGTGCATAGCACAGTAGACTGACCACGGCGCGCTTGATGTCGTAGAGGTCGGTGTAGTGCTCGAGCGCGCGCTGCAGCAGGCCGGCTTTCTCGCACAGCTGCGCCACGTGCGCGCGGTCGTAGTGCGTGAACATGCCGTTGCCGAGGATCGCGTCCGCCACCTGCGGCGCTGACATCAGATTCATCTCCAGGAGCCTGCAATCGTAATTATAACATTAACTAAATATGTAAATAATATCTCTAAAATGCTCGCGCATGCTCGAGCAAAATTTTGACTACTCGATCATGCAGGCGGCATCTGCGCGCCTCCGTGAGCAAGATCGATTGAAACTGCTCTGGGTTGTTAGGGGGCATGACCAATTTGTTGTCAAAATCCGATGTTGATAGACGTGTTCAATATGATCAATTGAGACTTGGTGATTATCGCCCTTTTAGCAGAGGAAGAGGAAGATGAAGAACATATTAATGAAATCAGACTTCAGAAAATTAGAAGAACAGTATGGGTAGAAGAAACGTGGAGATTCTTTCCCAAGCATTGGCTTTTAACATACGATCGCTGTATGTTGCGACTTGATATATTGTACACACTCAAAACGTTGCACCAAACTTATCAACTTTTCTTCGTCCATGATTCCGACTTATGTGACGCGCTTATAGGTTATAAACTAAACACGTCCAAACAGTTTTTTCGCTGCGGCAATACTGAGCGCGGGTGGCAGCGGTGCGAGCGCGTTCGCTCATGCTCGAACATGCATCCTGCAAGGTCGAGCATCAAGTTTGGACGTGTATATAATTTTGCACTGTCTGTCAATAGTCATAAATTAATATTTTAGTTCTCGGAATATGCTCTGCTCTACTCTGCTCTTGGTGTGCGCTGACCGTAATAATGTCCCGACCCGGTCGCGACACGTGTAACATGAATCATCCTATAGCCTGCAAACTTTGAACAATGATTCACAGGTAATAATTTACTCACCTAGTAACATTCCTTTTCAACCCTAACAAAGACAAAAAATTGTAGCTGTTTGACATTACAGCAGCTTAGGAACAATTTTTCTATCATGTTCTGTGTAATGTACATAACCTACCGATAATTATAAATACCAATGTTATTGCCACAAACTATAGCCAATAGCACTCTGGAGATAGAAAACAAATCTAACACTACTTTACACATCAAAATTGACCATTTGGAATGCAGCAGGACAACATGCTCATACAACTTCTATAAAAAAGTTAAAAAAAAAACTGTTCAACGCTACTTTCTGCTAAAAGCACTGAATAAATACACTGACACTGTAATAAATAATAATGATTAAAAACTTATTTTCCAATTCAATTGGTCATACTATCTGTGCATTACACTATATATAGCCACTAGCTTCATAATAGATACACTGTCACATGTACTGACAACTATATATGACGGTATGCACAATACGGCCATCGCGGTAGCAGATTCAAAGCAATGACGACATGAAAATAACGACGAATCCACGAATTTCTCTGTCAAGAGGGTGGCGCCACTTAGCAATGAGGTGAAAGTTTGACAAATTTCATAGGAGGGTAAGTTAATTTGTTAGAAAATTGTAGAAACTAATGTTTCTTTCCAAAATATTAGTATTTTTTTATAGGATAGGGTGACAAACGAGCACACAATCCACCTGATGGTAATTGGTTGCTGTGGCCCATAGACATCTACATCTATCCTCGATTACGAATCAGAATGCCAATGCATTGTCACCCGTGGGGACTGAGATGGAATGCCTCGTTTTCAGTAAAAAGGGTCACCAGTTCTCTACTCACCATACACAGCAGCATTAAGCTACTATTTTACACTGGTATTCTGTGAGAGTGTGGTCCTTCCCTAATCGAGCCGACCCATTCATGCTACAATTATACTATTAATATAACTGCAGCATGGCTCTACCATGTAAAACATAGTTATATTTCATACTCATTAGATTAGACATGGATAAACCAAACGATGGATATTACTAAAATTTTGTTTATAATATACACACACACACACACTATAAACTGAAAAAAACTTTTTAATGATGATAACACTGTGAGCTGTTTAATAAATAAATTCAGCCTAGTTCCAACCAATGACATATGGTGAGAGTAAGGTTAACATGCAACATATTTTATACCTAGCATATACATGTATACCTTCAATTGTGGAAGGTTTTCCTTTCCCCATGGCCTTTCCCGTATCTCCTCTCACGGTATCCACGAAACGAGACAAGGTGATGGATACTTTTTTCCGCCACCGTACTTATGGCTAGAAAACATTAACATTCGCCCTTTTTTAAACGTTTTTACTCACCTCGTCTGCAAGGGTCCTTCTTCGGGGCGATTATTCTTAAGTGCGTCCAACAAGAACGCCGTACACTGCTGCACCATATTCTGTTCCATGAACACATCAACAATTTGGTTTATATCAGCAAGAGGGGGGTCTTCCGCAACAAGCATCCCAGCAAATCCAGCACCCTGTTCAGGGTTTGTTCTCATGACGGAACGGAGGAGGTATATGTAGTCTGGTGTATAGCCAACCTGCGTAGAAAACATTTCAATTGTAACATCATTGCCAAACCAAAAATATATATGTTGTTTCCTGTGGATGGTCCATTATTTTTTATACAATAATGAAATAATAATTTAGGTCAAAATAAAATTTTCTATAGAAGTAAGGAAGAAAAGGATGGTTCATTACCTTCTTGGCATAGAGCACAATTTTCTGGAACTGGCCAGTCTCAGCAAAGCACTGAATAACTTTACTAGCCACGTTGGCGCGAAGGTACACCGACAGAGCTAAAGTTGGGTCTACTTGTTTCACAAGATCTCCGAGCTCTTCCGAGCACTCTAGTTTCTCTTCTTTTAGCCATTTCTCAAGAAGTTGTTTACGACCTGTCATAAAAATATTTGGTTTTCAAGAAATATTAATCTGTGAAATATCGCAGACTCTCACAAGGAATTAGTCCGTAAAGCTGTATATAAATAAAAAGCTTTATTTATATACGGTTACAAAATAGTAAATAAAGAAAGAAAGAAAGAAAAATATTTATTTGGTACACAAACGTAAAAAACACATAAAAGACATAAACACAGTAATTTAGTTACAAAGAGAAAAAAAATATTTTATGCTATTAGTGCACCAAAAAGGTTTCCACTCAGCCTTAAATTCACGAAGTTTAACACTAAGAAACTTCATGAAATTGAGCCATATCTTAAAAATCAAGTAACAGATCTTAAAATATGAAATAATGATAGTAAAAAACAAAAAACAAAAACAACAAGGTTATAAAAATCGTAATAAAAACAAAAGGTGCGTGTGTGTGTGTGTGTGTGTGTGTGTGTGTGTGTGTGTGTGTGTGTGCGTGTGTGTGTGTGTGCGTGCGTGTGTGCGTGTGTGTGTGCGTGTGTGTGTGTGAAGGTGTGTGTGTGCGTGTGTGTGCGCGTTAAGAAGGTTCCCCAGTTTTAACCACTCCGAAGAGCAGGGATGCGAGGTGAAGCTTCCGTCTGGTGTCTGGTGGACATGTTCATCAAGTCGCGTCGGTTTGGGAATGGAGTGACATGAGATCGAGGTGGTATTGAAAAACAGAAACGTGCGCAAGCGTTTTGTATTCGTTGTAACAGTTTTTTAGTTCTTGCCATTAAGCATTCACCAAAAACTGCGTCACCATACGACAACTTTGACAAGATGAGAGTTTCACACAACTTAATGCGCATATCCACAGTCAAGTACTCGCGAATTTTGTATAAGACTTTAGGTCTATAGAAACAGTTCGCATTGTGTTGAAAATTTTTCGGTTGTTCTTAAGTAACACTTAAGAACAATCGAAAAAATTTCATTTTATGAAGTCACATTATCACCACAGCAATTAGTTGATAATTGGTAAAATTTTCTGCCAGTAAACAATTTATTATCAATTCTACGATAAACAGTAATTAATTAAAGTAATAAATATTGAAATAATTTGTGCCCTTACCCTGCAACAAAACAGGACGACAAAGTTCCAGTGACTCGAACTTATTCAATTGTGCCTGGTCCAGTAGAATACCAAAGTACTGCAGCAAGGGTGAAGTCTGACCGGGCTGGGTGGGTACTTGTTGGAAACGTTGAATTGTTTGTGGCGTGCGGAGTATGCCTCTTGGAGCCATGGCCGCTACCTAATAAAATTTAATTTTTAAAAGTTATTTTCAGTGATAATTGATTGCAATAAAGTCTAAGAGAAATGTCATACATATTAAAATATTCAAAGCAAATGCAATATCTCATTCTTTGGTACACCTATTTTTATGCAAAATTCTCGAAATCATTTTGACTCCATCTAGCTGTGATTAATCACATGCTGATGATATATATGTAAATAATGATTAAGCTTCCCTATTGTCAACTTTTTATTTTAGGCCTAAGGCTGGTATCATAAATTGGCTCCAACTGTTGGCGTAATGGCTTTAGGCCTGTGTGTGATTTATTGCGAAATTACTGTTCACCTGAACAATCAGGCTAAAATAAGCAGCTGCATTTTGTCATTTTTCTCAAGGAATTGTATGCTTATTTATTTTATTTTGGAAGCTTGTGTTGTAAGCATATAACGGCTACCCAATAAATACGGAACAATTATATTTTTTGTTTAGTTTCAGTGATTATAACAGGTAAAATTTATTTTATGAAATTAATAACGTTTATGTCACATTGACTAATTTCCAAAAAAAATGATGTGTAAATGTAAATAATATAAAAGAAAAATTTAAGAATATTAAATTGGATACTTCAGCTTTGGTTTGTTTTCAATATAATTCAGTTTTAATAAACACAGTTGCCTTGCACCTGTTATGTATAACTATTACATGAATTTCGTACAAACGCGCCGATAACGATAAGTCAGACGAATTAACATTGACTGTGTTTGGAACACAATGAATATGGATCCAATGTGTGGATGCGTCATAGGAATTTGAGATTATTATAGTCCAATGTTGGCTCGCTTTTTCAACTGACTTCAAAAGGAAGACGTTTTCAAATTGAGTGAACTTTTTTATGTGTTACCCAGAAAATTGTTCTAGGTAAAGAGATTTTGAAGATTTTTTATTTAAAAGCTATATAAATTTGATCAAGATCTGACCTGTAGTCTTTGAGTTAATAATGCGTGTTTAATTAATTTCCACGAGATTGATGACGTTCTTATTTTATTTGTATTAAAGTCGGTAGAGCCGTGGGAGGTAGCTGAAATGGTTAGCGCTAAAGTCACATTACGCGAGCAACCCGAGTTCGATTTCGCCGGCACCAATGAAATTGTTAATTGCAATTGTGTTGATTTACTATGTGCTCGGCGGTGAAGGAAATCATCGTGAAGAAACCTGCATGTCTGAGAAATAAAAAAAATATTTCGATAACATGTGAAGTTCGCCAACACGCGCTGGGGCAGCGCGGCGGACACTTCCTCGCCCTAAAACCCTCTCAGAAATGAGAGGAGGCCTATACAACAATTTTAATTTTACCACTTGTTTGGTGCTAATATAGGCGACCTTAGTCGTAAACATGTCGATGCGGTTATACTATCTTGATAAGAGTAACCAAAGCATCCGGGCTTGTAAACGTCAATCCGCCTTCCAATCGTGACAATTCAGGGAAATGCTACTACACAGAAGAAGACGAAGAAGAACACTACAATAGAAGAGCCCCATGTCCAACGTAAGACTTATACTAGCGCAAACCCTGACTGCGTAAAATTGACTGAATAGAGAAAAATATGTTGAATGATATGCAATAGAAAAAGACATACATACTTTGTCTTTTTTTGTCTTTTTGTTGAAACGTTACCTCCACACTAGGATTTTCTCCTGTAACGTGGAGGCAGTTTACAAACATAAATTGCACAAGGACAAACATCCAGACCAGGAACAATTACCTGTAGGCCATACAAATACTTGTTCCGTGCGGGATTCGAACCCGCGGCCCCCAGCGCAGCCACTCACTTGCTAAGCTACTTCCCCACGGAGCCGTCGAATATATACCCTCGAAAATCATTACACTTCTTCTGTGGCAGTTGTGTAAAAATGAAGAATCATAGCCATTTAGGGTTGTCAATCATATTATAGGGGTGACAATATTCAAACATGAAGCAGCGAGAGAAGTAATTTAACCTTAGCAGCCTCTCCATATTGTCCATTTGTAAACAGCATGTTAAACTTGCGCACAAACAGTTCCTCAGCGCCAGCGAGGTTGTTTCTCACGGCCAGTCTAAGTGCTAGTTCTGGGTTCTGAAGCACAGTGTTAATGTACGGCACAATAGAGTCCTCCTCTACTGTTACTGACAGCACTTGCCCCTTGCGATTAACACCTGCAGATATACATAAGTAAAAATTCAATACATAGCGAAAATCTACAATAATCAAGTAATCTTACTATAATTTAAATTGTCTAGAAAGACAGTAATAAAAATAAATATAACATATAGAAATTTCTGAAAGAAAACACTACACTCACCAATAATTCCACCAGTGGCTTCATGAGGCGCAGTAACAAATATCGTGTCTGAAGAAATCCGATTCATATAAATACAGGTTCCAGTCTCTATGTCATACATGTGGATGTAGCCATACTTGGTTATAAGGTAAATGACGTCATACTTCGGCGACACTTGCATGGCGACTGGGAAGTCGTTTTGCGCTTCGGGAGGAAAGAACACGTCGACGGCTTTCTTGGGGAACGGTTGGTTGCCGGCGGGTGTTTGACCAACCTCTGTTCAAATATAAGACACATTAAGTGATTGATTCTTTAAGATTAAGAACTCGGCTAGTAAGCTATTCATATTAGTGTCAATAATGTCAATGATGGAGTGTGTTTTAATACGGTAGTGCCATCTTGCAGCCGTAACACAGTTTAAAGAGCTAACATTTGGGAAACGTCTTTGATGTAAGGCGATGCCGCCGCCGTCACAAATATGCTAGATATTGTCACAAATAAAATAATTTTGGATATTACAATACTCATTATCATTTATTAAAATTATGTACATACTTTTAAGTTAAAAACATTTATGGAACAAGATCATTTTTTATTACTATAATAAAACAAGTGTTGCATGCCAAATATTTTAGTGACATTATCTATTTATAGATGTTTTCAGTTTTCGATTATTAAATTTATTTATGTAGTGTATTCGCATTCGGATAAAAAATTGTATTAAGAAAAAAATTAGGGAAACAAGCATGGCCGTCATTTGAATTGAACTTTATTTCACAACTCATATAACTATAACAGTAATTCACCATTATAGATATTATATTTTTAGAAAACGGCACTTATAATTAGTTAAATAAGTAATAAGTATACTTTAAAACACGCTCGTGTCAACCACATGTATTGTAGTTAGTTACAGCCTATATACGTCCCACTGCTGGGCACAGGCCTCCGCTCATTTTTGAGAGGGTTTTAGGGCAAGGAAGTGTCCGCCGCGCTGCCCCAATGCGTGTTGGCGAACTTCACATGTCTCCGAAATAATTTTTTTTCTTATTCCTCAGACATGCAGGTTTTTCCTAACGATGTTTTCCTTCATTCACGTGGCGTGCACGTGGGAAATCAGCACTTAAAATTGCAATTAACAATTTCATTGGTGCCTGCCTAGATCGAACCCGAGTTACTCGCGTTCTGTTATATTTACAGCGAGCGTTAACCATCAGAGCTACCACGGCTCTACTGTACATGTATTGTACAGCAGAATTATTTGAGTGCGCTGGCACAAGGTCCAACCACTACCCCGCAAGGCCCCTGCTGTTGCTCTGCACAAGTACATTAATTTCCCAACTATTAGACTCTCTTTAAACTGTGGCTGAATTATGGCTGCAGCACAATATAATACAACAAAAAGTTTAAAAAAAAACAAAGAACAAGTCTGCTTGACCAGGGAAGGTCCACAGGTTCAAAGAATACGCAGGCCCTTTTATTGTTAATGAGTGAAATATCACAGGCGTGAAAACGCATGTGCATTTTGATTCTTAGTTGAGGATTAATGTTTGTGTATATGAGCCATAACATTCACAAAAATCAGGTGCACTGTGAGCTCACTTGTCATCCTTACTTTTGTATTAAAAAGCAACAAACAACATACTAAACAAATCTCACAACCAATAAATGTGTGTGTGATATCAGAATGCTATGTTGTTATTATTTGAGAGTGTATCTATCAGGGTACTAGTAAAAACAATGCTCTCCTTGAACTATACACATAAGCAACAATAATAATTATAACTAAATATAAAACGATAAACTGTATATAACTATATCATGAAAACATATATATGTAATAAGAATATAATGGCATTCAATGATATATAACTATTGACCAAATACTATACACTAACTACTCAATTCTAAGATTGTTAAGTCTCGTTGTGAGACTTAATGGTATCTTAGAATTTAGCAACATTTGAGTATTTGGGCATATGTCTTTAAATATATCAATGCGTGCCATTGGAATATGCCTGAGTTATAATTTATTTAAATTTCTCTGTTGCTTTTGTACATTTATATTTTGTAAAAATTACTAAAAGATAATATCATTTAAAAAAAACTATTTGCAACAAACTCACTGCGTAAACACATTGCTATCAATTTGAAGACTCGCAAATGAGCTTGTTTGAAAATGTTAAATGTGCCAGAAAAATAATATTACCAGCTCGATTAAGAATTAATAAAACAGTAAAAGCAATTGCTGACACTTTTGTGTTTTATGCCAGTAATTCTATCTCGAAATCTGTAAAATTTCGATCTAGACAAAAATATAATCAAAGTGAGTTCTTTGTTAGATGGCCTATTTGATATTTATCTTCTTCTGCAACAGCCCCTGCATCAGAACTTACTGCAGAGAGGATTTGTAATAATGTGCATTCATCTGTAGGCGGCGCAGTATCAGACCCACGCATATATAACGCCAATCCCATCGCTGGTCTAAGTATTTTGTATCTGGTATAAATGTAATGGTTGTACTGCTCTCTATAGGAAGTCTAGCATTACTCATAGTCACCATTCTGCATGTCATACCCACGGGACGAAACAGAGTAATGGATCGAATTCTTCTTCTTCTTTTGAATCATGGCTTCTCTTGATAAAATTCTGGCAGTGTCAAGCATGAACAGACCATGACTTTTTTCTCAGTAAAAATGTGAATGCGGTGTAAGAATATCCAATACCTCATAGCACCCCGCAGGTGTCGTAAGAGGCGGCAGAAGCATAATTTTCCAAATAAAGACTAAAAATAAAAAACTGCATTTGCCAACTTGCTTGCCAAGCGAGGCAACTATGTCATATATCCGCCCTATGAGGAAATCTATAGCGGAGGCTAATGTTCATCAGTTGAGTTTAATAGGCTGTAACGGTACAGTAAAAATGTCAACATGAAAAGAAAACAATCAACATACCAATAATATGCAATTTGCCTCCTTGAGCGGTCCTTACTGCGAAACAGAAGAGGGTAGATGGCTCCGCGTTGCCCTCGGCTTTGAATGTGGCAAAGGATGCCGCGTGTCCCTCGATCGGCTGTGAGCACTTGCGCTCCACGGAATACAGCTGCATTGCACCAACCACACGGTTTTGTTGTGCAGAAATACCTGCGAAAGTAGGGCTAGTGTGAGTTCAAGTCACATACACTTAGTGCATGTTTAAGTTTGGCATCACCTCCAAACACCAAACAGCATATCAACAGAAAATCTGTGTTTTGGTTCGCAAGCCAATTTTAGCGCACAATTGAACTACAGCGAGGCGGCCGCGCGCGGCAGCCGATCCGCTAACGAATGTACATTTTGTGCGCGGCAACCATGGACGTTGTAAGTCGACGAAGTGCAACAGGCAAGCCCATTTCTGCACCGATTTCATTTCAAGCATCTTTTCTTCATGATTTCTTGTGATAACTATACTATAACTGTTGGCGACGCGCCTATAAAAATGTTTCAGTTTATTAAATCAACCGATGACGTTGCTATGAAAAAAGGGGCAGTCACGAGCAACGACGCTCTGATAAGAGAATGCTTAGTTAAATCTTTAAGAAATGTCGAATTAATGATATGAAGGTCTTGGGTTCGACTCCCAGGCCGGACTAGTTTGTTTGTTTTCCTAAGTAATATCGCTTAATAAATTCGTAAGGAATTTAAGATATAAATTATGTTACCGGATTTGTTCCCCGGTTGAAATCATCTTTCAAATGATGTAAATTCATAAGAATATTAAAGTGAAGTTAAAGATCGGATTTGTTCCCCGGTCGAGATAATCACTCTGTGCATAGGCAGAATTAATGGATATTAATTGCATAAATGTTGTTTTGTATAAGTTTGATACGTTTTGTACGAAAACAAATGCCTATTTGTTATGATTGATTAATGAGAACATTCATTTATATTGTTATCTGATTAAAGATAGTTTCATACAGTTCGAAAATTGTATAAAAGCATTTAATTTGCCTAATATGGTCAAAATTGGTGTATATCAGACTTTCATTTTTTCTGATAGCCGAGAGCCGTGCAAAAGTTAGTTGTTCAAATAGTGTGAGTTCATAGACGCACGCTAGGCCACGCCCTTAGGAGGCCGAATATGTAAAAATTTAAAATGTTTGTAATTCAGTGATTTATGTAAAAATTACTTGTAAAATATTTCAGGTTAATTGTACGTGCTAAAAAAGGTAAATTCTGTGTTATTTTCATGTGAAAATTCCTGTGTATAAGTGAAATAATGATAGTTTTGTATAAGAAATTTAAAAGTGTTTTAAATAGTGAAATAAATAGAAAAAATGTAAATTAAACTATTGTATTGGTTAGCTTATGTATAAATTCAAGTGAGAAACATTGTTTTAACTTTCTGTGTTAAATATTTAAGAAATTTCGATTTCGAACTTGTGAGTAAAATAGGCAGTTTTCGTTTAATAAATAAAAGGTTTTTTATGATATGAAGATATGATGTATATCATGGTGTAGATATTGTTTTGTACTACCTATATTGATAAATTGTATTTGTATATGATTTGAATAAATAAAGATATTGAGTGAAACGTGAGAGAGTAATAGTACAAATTCATGTAATTAAGTTGCGCAAGCGCGCAGATGGCGCGGCTCACTTTCGCGTATAGCTCTGGGGTAGCTTAGTGAACGGGTTTTATTGCAATTCGTTCGGGAAGTTCGGGGAAGTTCGGGAATCGTTCGGGAATCCTTCGGGAATAGTTCGGGGAAAAAGTTCGGGAAATATTCAAGGAAATAGTTCGGAAATAAATAAGAAAATCCGGGAAAAAGTTCAAGAAAAGTGAAAAACCAGCAGTATAGGGAAAAGTGATTACTCTCTCACGGAACGGTTTGAAGATAATTGCTGTTTCATTCCCAAGATCCTTTAAGTTATACAGTCCACATCGAAGAATTAAGGCGTCGGGACCGGGACGACTTCGGAAGACCCGTAATCCCCGTCTGAACCTACTTGCTGAAAAGGAAGAGGTTATCGCCCTAGTGTGTTACTCCGTTGCGGAGATCACATACGTTGTTCCCGAACCCAACGTAGGCGTGATAGGAGGCCGGATCGAGAGAAGCCTCGATTCCTGTTTCTTAGTACCCGATCCGCTAGGTCCTTTTCAATTGGTCCTTTTCAGGATCAAGAGGGACACCGACCTGGTCCTTTTCAATTGGTCCTTCGCGGCCGGATTGAGAGGACGTCCGACCTGAGTTCCTTTTCAATTGGTCCTTCGCGGCCGGATTGAGAGGACTCGCGAACCTGGTCCTTTTCAATTGGTCCTTCGGAGCCGGATTGAAGACCACCCGAACCCCGCCAGCTGGATCAAGGAACCAGCTGTGGACTGCTGGTTGTGGAAGAAGAAGACCTTCGGAAGCCGAGTGAAGATCAGCAACCGAAGGAAGCCAGAGGTTTGAGCTGAAGCAATAGGACCAAAGGCCTGAAGACCAGGACGGCAGCACTGAAGGGCTGGACCTGGAACTACCGGAAGAAAGAAAACCGGGATTGCAGCTTGGGGCGTGTGCTCGCATGGGGCACATATCGCAGCCGGGCGCAGGTGTCTTGTGAAGGCACTCATCGTGGCCAAGCAGGGCTTGGCATTTTTCCTGTCGGGCAAGCGTGCTCGGCATTTCTTGTCAGACGATCGTGTCTGGCATTTCCTGTCGGACGACCGTGTCCGGCATTTCCCGTCGGGTCATCAGGGTGCAAAAAGCATCCACCGCTGCTGCTGCCGGGCGAGGGTGCGCGTGGGCACCTGACTGCATCGCGGCCGGAGGAGGGCGCTTGGACGAGGCGTCACCGGCAACTGGGCGGCGAGCACAGCATACATCCCGACCACCTAACGGTGCCAAACGGTTGGGCTCTGGCATAACACCTTCGGGTGGAGCAGTTCTCTCGAGCGAGACTGCGCTTGCACTACCGCTCGACTGTTTCGTCATATTCCTTGGCGGGACAGTTCCTAAACCTTTCCTCCATTCCATTCCTGCACGACTCCATCCCTGGACGGCTCACCTCGGTAGGCCCCGTTCAGGATTGATAGGGCTGATAGGGCTGTTAGGGTGGTAGTAGGGTTGTAGGGTTGGGAGATAAAGGGGGGGAGGGGTAGTGGTGTTAGGTTGGGGTGTAGAAGGGTTGTAGGTAAGGGGTTGTAGGGACCGTAGGGACTGTAGGGACAGTTAGGGACCGTAGGCCAACAATCACCTTCCTGCAAGATGAAGAAGGCACAAGACCAGACAGGGAGAAGCGAAGGGAGCAGGACAAGGACAGGGCTCTCAAGAAAAGATAAAGAAGCGGAATCATCTGGAGCGACCACAGCTACTGCGTCAAATGGAGCAACTCCTTCAAGTGGAGCCACCACAGACACGTCCACATGCACGTGGGACTCAGGGACGTCCATGGCAACGACGAGCAACAGGACGGACACCAGTGGTACGCAGGCCAGCACCGCACAACAATCCGTTATATCCAGGAGTGAAACGGTGGTCGAAAAAGTAGGTCAAAGGACCGAAGAAGCGGCATCGTCAAGGACAGTAATCGGGCACACTAGTGATAAAGGGTCACAGAGAGGTAGTAGGTCATCGCGATCGGCGAGGCTGAAAGCCGAATTAGAGGCGCGGATTAAATTCGAACGCTCAGAGCTCGAACGAGCACAGGCAGCTGCTGCCTTAGCCAAGTCTCAATTGGAGTTGGCACGACTCAACCGAGATGAGGAAATCGACTCGAGTGAGGATGATGAAGAGCGGAATACTCAGGTGGAACCTTTCGTAAGGAGTTGGGTTCAGCAAACCATAATGAGCGCGCCGGTTAGTGTAGCACAACCCGATATTACTGATAAGGAAGCGTGTAAAGGATCACGCCGCAAAGGGGCGGAGGTCGAGCGCAACCTAGGAAATGCACAGAAAACACACGCGAGTGAGGTGTCAGAATTGACCGAAGCGATTGTGAGTGCAATAAAAATAGCTGGTAAAGATAAATCTTCCCAGCTTCATTTCCTCCAGGAATTACCGGTGTTCGATGGAGACCCGGGTGAATGGATAATTTTCAAAACGGTGTTTGAAGACACAAAAGGCCAATTTTCAGGGGTGCAAAATGTCGCACGCCTTAGGAGGGCATTAAAGGGCACCGCTAAAGAGGCGGTTAAGTCGCTGTTATTTACTTTATGTGAACCTGAAGAAATAATGAACGCTCTCGAAAGAAGATTCGGTAGGGTTGAGATGCTCATTCTAGCCGAAATCGAGAATGTAAAGCGTATGCCAAGATTGGCAGAAGATTGCCGAAATATAGGATCTTTTGCAAGTCGTATTACGAACGTGGTTGCCACAATACAAGCGTTGAATCAACCACAGTATTTATACTCACCGGAGTTAGTGAGCCGCATAGTGGAGAAACTTGGAACTATGATTAAATTTAAATGGTTTGAATATCGAGCTCAATATCCTTTGGAGCCAGAGTTACAGAAGATGGCCAAGTTTTTAAATTTATTGAGTGAACAATTTGGAACGTCCTTAAGCAATGAAAATGCGCCTGAAAAAAGGAAGCGTCCTGAATTCAGGAAGCAAACTGTACACACTGCAAAGGGAGGTGTACGCAGCTGTGCCGAGAGCGAGCGCTATATGCGCCGAAGTAATATGAGCGAGCGTTTAGAACGCCGAAATAATAAAAGGCACAACCGACAAGTGGTTATGATAACCCAGGACAAGCCTGTAAGTCGGGTAACACATAAGTGTGTTATATGCAACAAGGAGCACTCTATAGTGAGTTGTTACAAGTTTAAGGACATGAATATTCGCGAGAAATGGGAAGCCGTCAAAAAGGCCAAAGTATGTTTCCAATGTTTGTCACCTAACCATAGGAGGTTAGAGTGCAAAGCGAAAAAATGTGGTGTAGAAGGATGTAGAATGTCACATCATCGAATGCTACACCGATACCCCAATGAAAATACCTCGCCACAAGGGGACGAGGGGGGGTAAAGATGCTCAGATTACAACTGTTAGTACAGTAAATGCACTGGCATGTGCATATTTAAAGATCATACCGGTCGAGTTGCATGGGCCTAGAGGAAAGGTCAGGACAACAGCTCTTCTGGATGAGGGATCGACCATGACACTCATAGAGGAGTGGATGG